AGACGCCGCACGTTTACCGAGGCACTCCTGGCATCGACGAATCTCTTCAGAACCGTTCTTCCTGCACGTGATACGCTTCAATTTGCGCTAGGACAAACAGCGTCCTCTCGTCACCGGTTTACTTAACGCTACACTGGCAATCGACAGAGGACTCGAGAGGCTGATCCGACCGACCGTGGAACAACGATCCAGAGGCCACAGAGTAAACATTCACTCGTAACCCGTTCCAACAGCTACCGAAGAGCGCCACTGCTGCCACGCCAAAAGACGCCATCTGCAGTCCACCGTTCTGGCTCTCGTCTTCTGGGTATATCTTCCCTCGGCTTCTTTCAATCTGATGCTTCTTCAACACTTTCACCTCCTCAGACTTCCACTTCAAGCCTCTTCACAGTGAGTTTTCGTTGTTCTCTAGTTGTTACTTGGAATTCTTTTGCATAACTACTGTCTGACTTTTGCAGGTCTCTGCACCGGAATCGATTATGTAAAGCTGTGCCCACTGTAGAGAGTCATTCAGCGTCTTTCATTCTTTTCTCTCGGTTTCAGTGCAGTAGCCAGGACTCAAAGTACTGGTGTGATTTTACTCATTGTTAATTAATCCATCCTCAGAGTCCTCAGAATCCACTTCGTGAAGAATATGCATCGGACAAAGTGAAGGCTTGCACAGCAGAGCTAACGGTACGCTGGAGCGTATTCGCCTCAGTCGTGAAGGCCTGTGATGGAACTGGAAATTGATAACCAACGAGGCAGTGGCAATCAGGTGGTCGAAAACTAATTGTGGTGTTCAAAAAAATCAGCGAAGCAGCACAAATACACTCAAATTGTAAAATGGGAATGTTGGACTGGAAGCCGCTGTCCAAATTGGTCTTGAAGGAAAGTAGAGCGAAGTCTTTTCATCAGTTCATCTATCACCTACCTCATACCAGAGTTTGAAAACTCATGACCCCGCTGCTCTTTGTCTCTTTGTCAAGGGACAGTCACGCAGTCCCATGTCATGTTTTAAAAGACTCAAATTCGAGTTTATCCATATGCTAGCTGAGCCAATCATAGTCAAGGGAAAAATTGAGCTAAAACGGCTGAGGGTCTTCGCTTCCCGACCAATGGTTCAAGGCAGCATTTAGAAACGACGATGTAAATTCCAACGGTTACCGAGTCGATACCTTCCATAACATTCGGCACGGTCGCAAATCGACCCGTAAGTTCGATCGTTTGAAACACCTGAAACAGCATTTGGCTCGAATGAGAAATTCTACTGCATTCCAGGGAAATTGTTTAAGTGAGAACTTCACAGTGTACGCCGTGATGACCGGTGTGCGGCGTCGAAAAGTGTTAGCAAATAAGGGACTTCACTTGGTCGTTATCAACTGTTGCTTTAAACCATGGAACGAGAAGCGAAGGCCTTCGACTGTGGCGCAAACAAGCTATGAATCGATACCCCCTTCCATATTTGCTTACGTTTGAACAGCTTCTGCAGTGCATATTGATTCAGTGCCAATGCCTGAGATGAGAACTCAGAATCGAGTCATGAGGTCTTCTGATACAATGGTTTCATGCACAAAGAGATACGCCGCTAAATCGAAGTGTTTAACTTGAGTCAGTGTTTTGCACAACAGCCGCATTCTACATCAACAGCCCACATTTAAACCAAGATATAAAAAATTGAATGTTGGATAATTCATAAATTGATAATCGCACTACCGACCCGACTCGTCTGTCCTTGTTTACTTATCCGTTATCTTTATGAGCGCACATTAAAAACAAGCCAACGCTTTTCCAGTAATTTCTCTTCTCCGCTTTTGACTTCAACACAGGCTAAGTAATTTTATCACCGGATCATCCCACGGGTTCTTGGACGACCCAGAGCACGTTCGTGGTCCAACCAAATCCCGTTTGTAATTTCTGACTCCGCCGGTTGTCTCTCAAGCCAACCACATGGCTGCTCCATGTTCTTTTGGCCTCCTAGAAAGCAGGAATCACGTATGCTAGTCCCCCTCCCCCTTTGAACGTGTTCCCTATAAGGAACATTACATATTTTTCGTTCCATCGCTCTCTGAATGTATATCCGTTTCTTCTTCTTGGCTTTAGCAGCAGACCAACACTGACCATCGTAGGTCGTGGTGGGCGAGATGATGAATCAATCGTTTTTTCTGCTTTTGCATGGGCAGCTCGCTGTCGAGTAACGAGTTATATCCGGCATATACTGCTTTTTGTTTCTTCTGCTGATTTCCAAGCCCAACAAGTTCATACGGTCAGCTTGACATACCTGCTTGGTCATTATCATAATGAGTAGTAGCATTTGTCGATTCACTGCTGGATTAAGCCATTTTCAGGACTTCATCATAAGCATCTGTTTTCTGCCACGTTCATCCACCTTGATGCAAGAAACGTCTTTTACTCATCGATCTGGAGTTCTTCCAACAGCCGTTTGCCTTCTCTTAGAACCCGGTCTAATGTCTCTCTGGCCCAACGATGTTCAATTCTTTTTGCAACTAGTTTTGCTCATTGCCACCTTAATTTTTTCCTTCAGGCAATGACATAACAGACTCACGTTTGTGCCCTGCTCGTACTGATTCACTGATCACTTCAGGTTAGTCCTAATTCACACCCTACGTACTACGTGGCGTAGTCTAGAGCTTATGAATATAGCATTTTTTCTTGAAGTCTTTTCGTCAATAAAGTCTTGCGCATGATTGGCAATAAACGGTTCAGACGGTAATTCTCCAAATTTCCTTTTTCTCAATTTTGTGAAGTAAATCATCGAAAATATGATAGTCCCGTCGTCTACAATTTTCATTTCCTCTACATAGCCTCTAAACAAGCGCAAATGCTTCCTTACAGCTGTTACTTAAATTCTGCTCACGCTTGTTTCTGGAGTAGAGACGTCTCGACAGTCAAAATGAATTTCTATCCTCTAGAGGAATCCTTTGGCATGAAATCGATGAGTAGACGAAGATTCAACTACGGTTGTAATCTGTCTTCATGATCATTGGCTAATCGGTAGAAATGCACACCCCATGAGATAAATGAAAA